GTCCGTTAGTCCGTTTCATGTTATATCGATGATTTAGACAATTATTTTATGTCAAGGGGGACCAAGGCTATCAGTTCCAGTTATATTACCCAATTAATTTTGTATCCATATACAGATAAACTTTCTATCAGTAATTTTCCAATAAATTAAAAAAAAATAGTGTTACAAAAAATAGATAAACAACTTGCGAATTATTTTTAAACATTAGTGGTAAATTTTAGTAGGGGTGGCTTTAATCGGAAAACAAAATTAGTTTTACTAGGTTAGTGCGAAACTTCTTTCCATCAACACTATTGAAGTAAAATTTTCGGCTTCAATAGGCATAGATTTTATTAGGGTATATTTTTTTCTTAATTTAACAAAATTAAACCACAAATAACCCTAAAAGTGCTAAGTTTAGAGATCGGCAACTCCAATCCTATTTGAAAGACAGTGAATTTGTTACTATGATAAGATCATAACACATGGGTATTTCTTTAAAAATATTTACTTATTGTGATTCAATGTACGTTTTTGAAAATGGTGCATTTCAATGTGAAGTTTCTAAATCTAAAGCAATCTAAAATTCCTAAAAAGCATTATTAACATTTATAATAATTTAAATAATTTATATTTTTCCTAACGACCATAAGATCAATAATAGTATATGCTGCAGAGACATTTACATTAACAACAAGAGAAGAAGATCAACTGAAAGTTTTTGAGATAAAGATTATGAGAAAAATATTGAGACCAAAGAGGGAAAACGAAGAAGATGCATGGCAATGGATGAATCACGAAATATAAGAATGTATGGGTTAAGAGAACATAGTAAGAGAAACAAAAGCACAGAAAATAGATAATATGGCCACATAATGAGAAGAACAATGCGATGAAAGTTAGAACGGAGTGGATGCCACCAGTTAAAAGGACCAGAGGCAGAGCTAAACTGAGATGGAGACAATACTGAATGATTTTACCAGTCATAGTAAAACTTCCATTCTTAGAGATTAGTCTTTAAACTGATGACATGCAATTTCAATCTTAAGTTGAGGTAACAAATATGAGGTGTTTGAAATATGAAAAAAAAACGCAGAATTTAATGTTTTACATTACAAACGATCGCACGTCACGAGAAATGCCTCCAACAAGACGGTTTTTGGATGTAGTTTATAGCAAAAGTTTGGTTCTTTTGAAAAACGTAATAGTGTAATTAAAAATATAAGGTTTTCAACGTTTAAGATCGTTTATTATGTAAAAGTTTAAATCCAGCGTTTTTAATCATATTTCAAATGCCTCACATTTGTTCGAAAAAATCAAAACCAAAATTGCATACTATGTATAGGTTTTAAAGGTTAGGCTCGGGTAATCAAAACTTTATAGTGGCCGGTGAATCAAATTTATCGATCGTACTGATCTCATGAGAATAATAAAAAATGGCAAACGTTTATGGCCACGTTTATTTATTTAACACCTTTATATAATCTGAGTTTATTTCAAGCAAAACATAAAATCCGTAATACGGACAATACGGACAGCGACAATACGGATAGCGACATCTAATAATAAAATCCGTAAAATAGTTTCGAAACACAATTCAGATTTCTGCTTATAATCTGAGACTACTAAAACTTGCAAGGAAAACAGACATTGATAAAAGATGTTAAAAGGGACACGGGGAATCTAAAATTTGCATTCCACTACATGTCTTTACAACTAAGCAGAAATCCTTAGCGAATTGTGTTTCTCGTACCCACATAGAGTATATCTGAATAAAATGAAAAAGACAGCAAATATTCGATTTCACGCAAACAACTCCTATGTATCTGTTGATACGTATTTCGACCTAATAGGTCTCATCAGAACAGTTATTCATAGGTGTTCTCAACATGAAAAATCAATATTTTCTGTCTTTTAAGAAGCAACACTAAAATGGCTTCAATACGGACGCGATAGCGACATCTAATAATAAAATCCGTAAAATTTTGCTTATAATCTGAGCCTTCTAAAAATTGCAAGGCAAACAGACGTTGATAAAAGATGATAAAAGTGTTTATCAACGTTTGTTTTCCTTGTAATTTTTAGAAGGCTCAGATTATAAGCAGAAATCTGAATTGTGTTTCGAAACTATTTTACGGATTTTATTATTAGGTGTCGCTATCGCGTCCGTATTGAAACCATATTAGTGTTATGTACTTCTTAAAAAACAGAAAATATTGATTTTTCACGTTGAGAACACCTATGAATAACTGTTCTGATGAGACCTATTAGGTCGAAATACGTATCAACAGATACATAGGAGTTGTTTGCGTGAAATCGAATATTTGATGTCTTTTTTATTTTATTCGGATATACTCTGTGTGAATACGAGAAACACAATTCGCTAAGGATTTCTGCTTAGTTGTAAAGACATGTCGTGGAATGCAAATTTTAGATTCCCCATGTCCCTTTAAACATCTTTTATCAACGTCAGTTTGCCTTGCAATTTTTAGAAGGCTCAGATTATAAGCAGAAATCTGAATTGTGTTTCGAAACTATTTTACGGATTTTATTATTAGATGTTGCTATCGCGTCTGTATTGAAGTCATTTTAGTGTTGCTTCGTAAAAGACAGAAAATATTGATTTTTCACGTTGAGAACACCTATGAATAACTGTTCTGATGAGACCTATTAGGTCCAAATACGTTTTAACAGATACATTGGAGTTGTTTGCGTAAAATCGAATATTTGCTGTCTTTTTCATTTCAAAACATAAAAATTGCATACGCAAGCTCAACTTTTTACCTTTAAAACGCATCTTGATTTTTGTCGATAGGATACTTGGATCAAAATATTTTGAATTTTTACCGTCGAGCTGACACAAATTTTATTGAACATTGATTTCACCGCGTACTAATAACCATTGTTGGTTTAAATTATCTCAGCTATATTTATTTCGAAACATTTTTTTCCACGACGTACCGATTCTCGGTAAATTGATGTTTTTTCATTTTTACCCCCATACGGGGGGTATTTTCGTCTCTGATAACTGGAGTAAACAGAAATATTCTATAAAAACGTCGATGTAAAGAGACTACTAATAAGTATTGACTAATAACTAACGACTTATGATATTTAGAACTAATATATGTATTTTACATTTTAGAAAACAATGATATATTGTATAATAATTCTAAAATCATACATGTTATTTCAAAGAAGTTCTTAAATTAGTTTGTGACAAGTTAAGATAAGTAACGTTCGTTAAAGATATTAGCAAGAGCAAGGTTCTGAATCAATGCGTGGTTAGTTTTTTTTATAGTTTTTATAGTTTTTTTAGCAAAACTCTGCTTTTTCTAATTTAATACTGTATTGATAGTTCGACTTTCATGATGAAGCATGATATTCTTTTAACGTTTTATATCAAGTTAAACAGAACTAATGGCTTCATTTAATTCCTGGAGCTGACTAAACTTTTTCATAAAGCAATATTGGAAATAACGACAAAAAATTGGAAAAAATGTCTTATTCACATTATGTAACAAAGAGCAAACATTGCAAAGAGCATGTGGAAACTTGTCATATTATTTACAGAAAAATATAGTCTAAAGTAATTTCTCTTTATCGACAACTTATTTGAGACACAACATGAGGAAGTATAACTATACTGGAGCTTTAAGTTTTATTTTCCCCTAGGAAACAAACAAACCAGACGATAAGGAGATAGAGCATACAGAAGATAAGTTCAAAATGACTTACTGATACGATGTCAGTAAGGCATTTAACAAAGTGTGGCATAAAGAACTAACTTATTCACAAAATAAGCCAACTTGGATACAGCAAGATAATTACATGCAGTGTCTAATTGTACCTAGTCAATAGAAAGTCCAGGGTTCAGATAGTATACACAAACCACCCTACAAAGCATACTTAGTCTATATGCAGATGACACAGTAATAGCAGCGATATGTCTGGATCCAAATCTAGCTAGGTCGTGCGTACAAGATGCTCTAAATCAGTTGGAACATTGGGGTATTCAATGTAAAATCGCAGTAAACCCAGAGGAGCGACAGGCAGTAAGGTTTTTAAAAAGATTCGGAAGTTCAGACTGCCAAGTAAGAATGTTTAACTCACGGATAAAATGGTTCAAAAAAGCAAAATATTTAGGAGTGGTAATGGACAAAAGAGTGACACACATAACATGTCAATAGAGCTAAGTTTTGAGTAGCCAACAGCATTATCATACTAGCTATGACGTCTGAAGCAGTAATTTGGAGCCAAACCTCTAATACCAACGGTAGGAAGATCCAAGTAGCCCAAAACCACATTATAAGAAAGGCTGTGAACATTTTTATATACGTATCGATACAATGAAAGAAAAACCGTATGGACTCTTTAACGAACTAAGAACCCATCTGAATGAAACTCTAAGGAAGTTGACGACCTATGATGAAATGCATGCCCTATCCCCTAAGGTAAGTACAACTACTACATACCATTTAATAAACTTAAATTTCTAAGATCTCATTGTTAGGTAATCCAAAAGAGGACTACAATTTTTCTGACAGGTATCCCAGATGATGCAACCGTGATTCCTGAGCATTAAGGCCCAGCACCGTTAGGCATAGGCTTGATGACTATACCCTAAGGGTGATAGGCCGACCGAGTAATAATCCAGGATAAGGACGCCTTTTCTCGAAAAAAATTAATTTATTCTATAATGTTGCTCCCCAGTGTATATAAAAATACAAGGATTTAAACCAAAGATGTATATCCAATTACTTATGTTATATGCCTTAAGGGCCACATAGAATATATTACTGAACAGTAGTTCAGTAGTTTTTGTAGAGCAAGTTTTCGTAACAAAAACCTTACCTATATAGCAATCAATCGGAAAAAATACTTGAAAAACTTTTTCGAAAAATAAAAAAACTGTTTTCTATGCTTTTGTACAGAAGTTTTGTTGTTTAAGTTTTACAATATTTAGAATTAAGCTAAAAGATTTTAAATTTAAAATATTTATTTATATTAATTGGACTTACCTCTTGACATTACTTCGCTGGAACATTGTGAAAACAAAGCACTTACTAAAAGTATCCTTTTATACATCCTACTACAGCTTTGGGCCGATATACTCAAACAAATATCAGAAATAATTTTGCAGATACACTGTGATTATGATGAGAATATTTCTGCAAAATGAATTAAACATTTTAAATTTCGGCGTGTTTAGGACATTTATTGAGGTCAAGCTATCAGTTTAATTAGATTCAGTGTCAATCGGCACTTTTCATTTATACATTAATACCAATAAATAAATATTTAACTGATTCTTGTATTTTTAATTACATATGTATATATATATATATATATATATATATATATATATATATATAATGTATCTATAAAAAATCTATGTCAAAACTTTGTCCCTTGATATTTCGTATAAGAAGTATTTTCTATTTATTGACCTTTATATACTTAATGTCTATGTCTATAATTATAATTTATTTATAATTTATTTATTTACATTCACAAGACATCGCTTCTGTAGATTATTTCGTTTTTCGTAGAAATGTACTTTTTCTTCATTACTCTTTTATCCTCGGTTAGGATATGTATATTAATTCTGCATAAATTGAAGAATGTCCCTCTTAAGTTTACTTAAGTAACATATTCTATGATTAATTTGAATGCGAGCATGATTTGTTTTTTTTTTACCAAAATTAGTACTCTCTAGGAAACCAGTACAGAAGCACAGAAAAGAAAGACCATAGCAAAGATCGAGTAATGTTATTAAAAAGAGTATAAAGACTAAAGTATAAAGATAACAGATTAAAATACAGATATGTACAGCAAATACAAGGCAGGAAAAATATTAGTAGAGTGCCAAAAGACCAAGAGCAAAAGTTTGTGAGAGCAAAAGAGTATAGGACATAATCCTAATGAGCCATCAGCTGAAGCTGTTTTTAAAAGTCATCCACAAAAAAGTTTACTGGAAATGCGAGGCACAAATTCCGCAAAATCAGTTTGGATTTGTGAACGCCGTTGATACGAGGGAAGCTTTATTTATCATGCAGGTATTGTTTCAGAAATGTAGAGATGTCAGCTGTGATGTTTTTGCATTTCTGATTAACTACAAGAAGGTTTTCGATAGTCAGGCATAGACAAATGATGGAAGTGCTAAAGAGAACAGGGATTAATGGAAAAGACCTAAAAATAATAGCTAACTTTTATAGAGAGAATATACAGATCAGGTCAACATATTAAGGGGGCTGAGACAGGGGTGCATAGTGTCACCACTGATATTCAATCTGTACTCGGAGCATATTTTTGAAAAGGCTTTAAAAGATATTGATGAAGGCATCTCAATAAATAAAGTCAAGCTCCATAATCTGCGGTTTGCAGATGATACAATAGTGTTTTCCAATACCATAGAAGGACTGCAAAACTGCAAAAAAAGAACAAAATAACGTAAATAAGTAGAACATATGGGCTGGATATAAACGCCAGCAAAACCAAGCTAATGATCATTACCAAGGAAAACAGAACTGGAGCAAATATGTATGTGAATGATGTGATATTAATCTCCTTAATATTGCTTTGGCTGTATGCTTCGAATATTGTAGGCAACTTTATGCTATCAATGTTTGACAGAAGTGACTGTCACTGCCATGTTAATTTTATTGTTTTTGTTAACAATATGTTTACAATTTATGTTAATTAAAACCTTATATCCTAGGTTTTGTTTTTTCATTTCAAATTAATCAACATTAATGAAGAAGTATCTAAGACCCGAGAGGTTCGACGGGGATCCATCTGTGAAATCAACAGCAAAGGAATGGGACCATTGAAAAAAAATTTTTATAAACTTTTTAGTTGCCCATATTGTTACTCCTAATGTTTCTGCTGATGGTGCTGCTTTACCACCCCTAGATATTAATGATACTAAGCTGTAACTGTTAATAAATCATATTTTTCCATGAGTATATACCTATATAAGCGATTGTAACACTTACAATGAAGCGTGCCAAACTCTTGACACAATATACATTGAACCAAACAATATTATTCATGCCCTTCACATACTAACCACTAGATTACAACAGACAGATGAGTCTATCGATTCTTACATGCAATCTTTTAAGAGTTAGCAAAAGACTGCAATTTTACTGCTGTAGATGCTGATACTAATAAAAATGATACAATCCGTGGAGCTTTTATCGCTGGAATGACATGTACAAAGATACGATCGAGATTGTTAGAGAGTTTAACAGTAACTTTAGAAGAAACTTACAATATAGATATTTCAATGGAAATGGCAGAACTCAACTCTCAGGTTTATTCAAATCAACATTCAACACAGTGTGCTACCTGGTACCTATCAATTTGAGTCACAGAGCTCTCCAACAAATTCTGAATTTGTCACTGTGACAGATACTACCAACTCTACTAACTCTTCTAGATCAGGACACAAATGTTTTTTCTGTGGTGGGCCAATACATACAAGGAATAACTGTCGTACTCGGGACTCCATCTACAAATCCTGTAATAAAAAGGGACACTTTACAAAGGTTTGCCGCTTTAAGAGCACTAGTGCATCTGCCAACATATTTGAAGGCTATGATAACTGCACAGCCTGCGTTATTGCTGCTACTCCTGCTTCATTGAAGAAAGTTATAGTGCCTTCATCTATAAAAGGCCTTCCTGCTGATGCCCTTAGATACTGGTAGCTCTGTCAGTTTTATTAATGAAGACTTTGCTAACCTGTGCAAACTTCCTAGGAAGCCTTGTACTCTGACTGGTTCTATGGCCTCATTATCACACACCTCTGAAGTTAAAGATGTGACTACTCAAAATATTAAAAGTGGTGACCACTCATACGACAACATTAATTTACTTATAGTTAAAAATCTCTGTGCTCATATTATAATTGGTCATAATGTTCTATCTAACCACTCGAGTCTAGAGTTTGAATTTGGAGGACCTAAAGAAGTATTTAAAGTATGTAGTGTAGTTGAAGCCTCAGTACCTGCAGTTTCTTTATTTTGTAACCTGACTTCAAATTGTAAACGTTTATCGTTTTGTTTATCGCAGTAAAATCACACAGGCATAGGGCTGAAGATAATGTTTTTTTTTTAAAATGAGGTAAAAAAGCTTTTAAATGATGACATTATTGAATACAGTCAGTCCCCTTGGAGAGCGCAAGTGCTTATCACCAAAAACGAAACTCACAAGAAGCGGCTTGTGATTGATTATTCTCAAACAATTATTAATAGATTTACTCAACTTGATGCCTATCAACTGCCAAATATCGAAGAAATGGTGTCCAATGTACCACAATTCACTGTCTTTAGTGCAATAGATTTCCAAAGTGAATACCATTAGGTTCTAATACTTCCACATGAAAAGATATACACAGGTTTTGAAGCCGCTGGGTAACTGTATCAATTTTGTTTTATTCCGTTTGGTGTTACCAATGGTGTAGCCAGTTTCCAAAGAACAATTGACTGGCTCATACTCACAGAAAACCTTGAAAGGATATATGCCTACCTTGATGACATAACTGTTTGTGGTAAGACGAAGGTAGAAAATGATAAAAATCTTGAGAACTTTCTGAATGCCACAAACAAATATGGCTTGACACTAAATAAAAAGCTCATTTAATCAAACAGTAATAAACGTACTTGGTTACACTATAGGACCAAACCATGTCATAAAGCCCGATGCTAGCAGACTACAACCCTTATTAAAAATGCCTCCACCGAATGACACTGCATCTCTCAGAAGGATATTAGATATGTTTGCCCATTATTCAAAATGGATTCCCAAATTTTCCGAAAGGGTCCACACATTAGCTTTTGTCAACAATTTTCCATTGAACGAAGATGCTTTGTCTTGTTTTGAAAATTTGAAATCTATAGTTACAAAGTCATCTGTTCATGCTATCAACGAAAATATGCCATTTGTCGTTGAAACTTATGCTTCAGAACACTCAATTGCTGCTACCTTGAGTTAGGATTCCAGATCCGTTGCTTTCTTTTTAAGATCACCTAACTTTAGTGAGCTGAACCATTCTGCTGTGGAAAAAGAAGCATGCGCTATAGTTGAATCTCTAAAGAAGTGTCGCCATTTTCTTATATGTTTATTTCACAATCATTACTGATAAAAAGTCTGTAACATTTATGTTCAACACAAAGCATTCCAGCAAGATTAAAAATGAGAAAATACAAAGATTGCGACTTGAATTGGCACCTTATAAATATGACATTGGGTATCGACCAAGAAAAGACAACCAAGCAGCGGATGCTTTATCGCGCATCTGCTCTTGTGCTACTACCACGGCGGCAGATGCATCAAAACTCAAATCACTTCACACTGCACTTTGTCATCCAGGGGTAACACGTATGTTTCATTGGATAAAATCGAAGAATTTGTCTTTTTCTCTCAATGAAGTCAAGACTATGACTCGTGACTGTGGGGTATGTGCTAAAATTAAGCCAAGGTGCCAATCTGTAAGAATGATGAGTTTTTTTCCAAAGCTTATAAAAGCCACGCCATCTCCCTCCCTTCGAACGCCTTAGTATTGACTTTAAATGACCAATGACTTCGAATACCAATAATCGTTATATTATTACGGTAATAGAGTATTCGACTATTTTGACTGTTATGTATTTAATTGTGACTTAACGGAATGCTATAAAAATAAAATATTAAATACTTTGAATATATTTTGTAAATTATTAAATTTCAAAGCATTTACGCTTAGTGAACACGACATTTTGTTAAAGAAATTGTCTTCCGAGTTTGTAAATGGTCTTATTTAACAACATATCAGTATAATTCTATAATATACAGTGCGTCCATAAAGTAACGCATTTTAACTTATTTTAAGCTAAATAAAAGATGGTATTTATGAAGTACTCTGCAAATATTCAGGATAAATAAACCTCATATGATAATAATCGTAATTTTTTAAATTTAGCACCAATTTTTTTCATTTTCCCAATTTTCTGATAGCTGAGTACAAAAACTTATCACACCTTGCTACAAGTTGGAAGAAAAAAATTGGGAAAAAATAGCAAAGTTGTTCAGAAAAATTTAATATAAAGTTATACTCGTTACTTGTACAATACTGTTGTCTTACAATAGAAATACAAGATAAATAAAGAATTGACGTAATTCTTTTTTTCCCTATTGGAACAAAGGGCGTAGCAGAAATAG